CCCCAAAACCCCAAAACCCCAAAACCCCAAAACCCCATTTTCAATAATAAATTGAATATTGCCCTTCTTAATCTATGAGTCTAAATGGTGATCTAATGATCAAGGTTGAGCTGCTCTCTACTTATGCCACTACGAGACAGGAGTTCTTGCACTACACTCTCTAGCTCCTTCCGTTTCTGCCTTTCTTCTCGTAACTGATGAAGGATCAGGTCAAGTTTGCTCTCTTTTGTAGCTTTTGAAAGATTTTCTGATGCTTGATCTTCTTCTATTTGCTCATTTTTCTCAGATCCTTCTGATTTATCATCTTCATCATTATCTTCATTTCTGTTCTCGTGTTCTTCTTTCCCTCCTTCTTCTTTTGTTCATGATGGGTTTGATCCAACCTCTTCTTTGGTGATTTCTTTTTCAGTAGGATTATTATCTACGATTTTAATGGTATTCTGAGCTAAAGCTTTATCCTGCTTCAGCATATGTGCGTACTTTAGCCTGAGCTTATCAAGCCTCCTTTGTTTCGAACGGGCTTGGCTTTGTGAACTTCAAATCTTTACTAAGTTCCTTCCTTTGGATAATTTCTTTAAGTTCTTCTTAGTTAAATTTGAAGTTGTGTTCTTAATTAACTTGTCACTGGGCTCAGCATATAGACTTTTCTGTTGATTCTTCTCTTTTACAGACTCTCTGCTATAAACTGTCCTGTTACTGATGCCACTAAAGGATTTGTTCATCTGAATATTATCTAGAAAACATAAGATGATATTACTAATTACTTTTATATTCCATATAGCTTAAAGCGTCATCATTGGGCTTTCCCGAGTAAGGATTGCCACCTCCAACAGAACTTGATCTTTCAGAGATGATCCTAGTCAGCCTTGTTCTTCCTAAGTACACCTGGTCGAAGAAAGGAGGTGGTTTCGGATTTGATGGCGGCTTTAAAGTGAAACTTAAACTGTTCTGATCAATATCTATAAATTTTATTCTGATTTTATTTTTAAATAAAACTCTCTAACAAATTTTATAGTTGTAAAACCCTTTCAAACATTTGTGGCGCAATCTCTGAACAAACGATCAGTGGATTTTACACTTTATTCGTACAGAATCATATTAAAATCCTAAATTTTAGATTCTTTTCCCGATGTAGGCCTTAACAGTTAAGTTGAAAGCTTATCCCTTATTCCTTCGGAAGCAGAGGAGGTTTGAGGTCTTAAATCCTTAACTTACCTTTTTCATGCTTATTGGACATCAGATTCCTATTTCTAAAGAACTTCTTGCTACATATTCTCTTAATGGATGGATGTAGTCTCTCATTAGTGGTAACAAAGTTTTTCTTTGTCCATTCTTTATAAAAACTTTCAGTTGGATTCACCAGTTTATTCTATAGTTAGGATACAAAGCATACTGCTTTTGTTGAAAGCATCGGTAGCTTTATCTTCATGGAAAACTCTTTGCTGCCAAGCTAGATGGTCAGTAGCATAACTCATATTTGTGAAATGTATTTCTATTTTATGATAAATTAACGGGGTTTTGGGGTTTTGGGGTTTTGGGG